TCAGATACACAGACAGGAAGAGAGAAAGGAAGATCTTCCGTCCGATGATTCATTTTCCAAGTGGCCACAACGGCCAGAGATGAGCTGATCCAAAGCCAGGAACCAGGAGCTTCTTCTGGGTCTCCCACACCAGTTGAGAGTCCCAAAGCTTTTGGCCATCCTCGACTGCCTTCCCAGGCCACAAGCAGGAAGCTGGATGGGAAGTGGAGCGGCCGGGATTAGAACCAGTGCCCATATGGGATCCAGGCGCATTCAAGTCAAGGACTTTAGCCACTAGGCCACCACACCAGGCCCCCAAACTCTGCTTTAAACAATGTCCAGAATACCTGGATAGAGATCAGAAAGGAAGCAGAGGAAGCTAGCAGCATTACAAACCAACCAGACCTAACCAACAGGTGCAGAGCACTCAGCAACAGTGAAACACACGCTTCCCGGGAACACATGCAGCACTGTTCAGGATCAACACAGGACAAGTCAAGCCTTATAAATATGAAATCTGAGTCACGCGTATCTTCTCTGAATACAGCAGCATGGAGCTGGACATCACAAAGCACTAGTAGAAAGTTCACAGACAGAAGAAATTGAACTCTTCACCAGCAGGTCACAGAAGAAAAGGAAATCAGAACAAATGAAGAAGTGAATGAAAGCAAAAAAACCCCAAAAAAACAAAAAACAGCATACAAAATCACAAGATGCATGGAAAGCAGTGCTAAGAGGGAAATTATAGCAATAAATACTGCTATAAGTTAACTTCCTTAACAAAGGAAGCTCTCAAATCAGTAACCTTACAGCATACTCAAGGCACAAGAAAAAGAAGAGTAAAACAGATTCAAAATTAATAGAAAAAAAGCAATAATAAGATTAAAACTGTTATAAATGAAGCAGAGAATGAAAAAAAAAAACAATAGAGATTATCATACCAACATTCGGGCACCACTGCTATGGCTCAACAGGCTAATCCTCCATCTTCAAGTGTTGGTATCCCATTTGGATGCTGGTTCATATCCTGGCTGCTCTACTTCCCATCTAACTCCCTGCTTATGACCTTGGAAAGCAATGAAGAATGACCCAAAGCCATGGGACCTTGCACCCATGTTTGAGACCCAGAAGAGGTTCCTGGCTCTAGTCTTTGGATCACCTCTTTCCGGCTTTTGCATCCATTTGAAGAGTAAAACAGCAGATGGAAGATTTTTCTTTCTCCTCTCCTTTTCTCTGCATATCTACCCCAAAATTAAATCAACCTTAAAAAAAAAAAAACAGTACTTGTCTTTTTGAAAAGATCAATGAAATTGATAAACCTTTTGCTGAACTTGTAGAGCAAAAGAAAAAAGATGCGAATGACTAAAATTAGACATCAAGATTGAGGGCTACAACACCAGCTAGTTCACATTAGGACCAGGACAGCATTTAGACTAGACTGGGATAGGCTGCAGCAGCACCTACCAACAAGAGCTGGAATGGGGGCGGCACAGATTAGACTAGGCCGGGCTGAGCAATAAGATTGTGGATGCTGAAGTGAGCCGGGTAATGCCAGCCTGGGCCCATTTGGGGCTGGGTTCGTGGTCCCAGGGACGAGGGATATGACAGGGCTTGGGTAGCTTGGCTCAGGTCCTGGGGCACACCTGCTTGTGGGGGCTGGGTTCCTGAGCCCTGGGGGTGGGGAACCAGTGGGGCTTGGGTTGCTGATCCAGATCCTGGGGTCTTTTAGGTGGGTGTCAGGTTCATGTGCCTCAGGGGTAGGGTATCTGGTGGGGTTCAAGTCACCTGGCCCAGGTCTTGGGTCTTGCCTGCGAGGTGGGTGCAGGGTTTATGAGTACCGGGGTAAGGGGATCCAGTGGGGCTTGGGTCACCTGGCCCAGGTCCCAGGACCCGCCTACTAGGTGGATGTTGGGTTCTACTAGGTAGGTGTCAGGTTCATGATCCCCAGGGGTGAGGGATCCAGCCGTGCTTGGGACGCCTGTGCTGGGTCCTTTGACTCACCTGCAAGAACATGTCCTACTTAATGAAAAAGGTAGAACAGTGGACACAGGCTCTGTTGTAAAAGGAGAATATGGCAGCTCATTTGGTGCTGTAGCAGAAGAACAGAACTAACTGGACAACTACCCCAAACAAATAATGACAACAAAAAAGTCTCAGTGAATGGAGCCAATGGACACTTGGGAGGGTGACATCATGCTCAGATCGCTGAAATCAGCAGCGTTTCAGAACTATCCAAACCACTTGGACAGAACCCTCGGAATTTACACACTGAGAGTCTGGGTTGACATGAGGTGTCGGTTCCTCATCCCTGGGTCCTGGGACATGTGGAAAGTGAGTGGTTTCCCCCTTTGTTTCTCCCCTACCCCCAGGAACAACAAGAAGAAATAGCAAATTTGGAAGCAATGAGTTCACCCAATTTTCCCTAAACCTCTATCCTTCCCACCCTGATCAACCATGAAATCATTATAAAAAGTAAAATCAATAAATTGTTTAAAATTTTTCTTATTTTTTAGTATACTCTTAGTTGAGTATTTATCCTCAAAAATACAGAAAGAAAAAACTCTAATAAAGCGCTTAATATAAAAGGAAGAAAAAAATAATTCTATAAACCGATCTCCCCCCCCCCCCCAGAGTGTAAACAGAGTCTTCTAGAAGGATGTTTAAGATCTTAAATATGAGGGTCGTCAAAAAGTTTATGGAAGACGTGTATCACAACAGCAACAGCAACAAATCTGCCATGGATTTCAAAATCCTTTTAAATTCCATTTTCCCATGAACTTTCTGAAGTATTTTCATAGGAGCTGCATGTTCCTAAAAACAGTCCAAGAACTGGGAAAATGACACCTGTCTACTGAATACTCTAAGATGTCAAGAGGTATCGTATAATCACTTATACTGCAGTTTGCCCAGACTTCAGCCCCTCCGATAACGTCTTGTCTTGTTGTATTTAAGTCTCTGATTACCAAAAAGTTCCCCCAAAGAAAATAATGTACTCTCCCCGTGGGTTGTAATTTTCCTGGCACGCCTTCACTCTGGTAAAGTGATCAGCGCATTAAAAACCCAATGGAGACTCTGCAGAGGCCGGCAGTGGCAAGGCACCTCCACCGTGGCATGTGTGAAATCTGCCTTGCACTATAAACATTCCTCTGCAACCTGACACTGCCTCCATGTCCCTCTCCTGGGGGGTGTCCAGTGTGCTGAGGCTGGGGCGACCCACAGCTCCTTTTTAGGAACTTCGCAGAGAGAATCACAATGGGAGAAGGAGCAGGTGACTGAGAGGTCATCCTGGAAACCCCTCATCTTACACAAGAGGAAACTGAGGCCCTGGAAGTCCTTGTGACTTTCTTGGAATGACCCAGCTGCTCCCAGAGAGGTGCAGACACACGACCCGGGAGTCTAACTTCAGATCCTAGCTTTCTCTCCTTGATTTTGTTTACTAACCGAGGTGCTTTCAAGCTGCTAGTTTTGTGTTTCAAAATATGCTGGAGTTTTTTGGTTGATAGGGATGCTCAGACTTCTAAGAGTGAAGGGATATTTCTAAAAAAGCCAGCCCTGAGCTCCTGAGTGTATGTGGCCGGAAGCTTTCTTTATAGGAGATATTCATTTGTTCACTGTCCTGGCTGGCTTGCCTCACCCTCACCCCACATAGCTAACGCATGATGCTATTGAGTTCTAAGTTGAGTTTCCATCCTTATATGAAAAGTTAGCTTGGCACAGAGCTTGGTAGAGCTAAGTCTGACCAGCTGCACGCTCAGCCACGAGGGAAATTAAAAACGAGACAGGATGGCTGGTTCAGTCCAAATCAATCAAAGTCCCTTGAAAATTATCTCAAAAGTACATGCCAATGAAGGCACATGGGTAGTCATCTTTGCCTATAGACTAATTTTAGTCCTGTTCCCTGGAGTGCCACGCATGGGCAAAGAAAGCCCAAAACCTTGTCTGGTTTGCTTGCTTGTTGATTTCTATTCCTCCAACGGCTCCATAAAATTCAGGGGAGAAACATGTTCAATCCTGATGTATTCTACCAGTATCTCTAGTTAGATTTGCATGCCCTCTTGCCATCCTGAGTCACAGCAATGGGTCTGGTTCACTTTCTTTGGGAAACGTGTTTTTAAGTGTGCAATGCAGCGGTTGTTCATGTATTTGTAATGTGGCATGATCACACCCAATGTTTAATTTCAGAATATTTTTATTGTCATTATAAGAAACTCCATATGTATTTACTCACTCCCATTCCCACCTCTCCTCAGCCCCTGGCAGCGAATAATCTTCCTAACGCTGTGGGCTTGCCTGTCCGGGATATTTCATATCAATGGAACTGAAGGACATGTGCTCTTCGGTGTCTGGCTCCGCCTCATGTGCTCAAGTTCCATCCATGTTGCCGCAAGTCTCGTGACTTCATTTCTGATGTGCCCTATCAATTTTCCAAAAGACTATCCTTTAAAAAGTGCAAATACTGCATATTCTTTAGCAGAAACTTTTGCTGTGCCTAGAAAAAAAAACCCAACAAGATATTCACTTTAGATATTTGGCTTGACAAGTTACTATTGACATCCCAGGGGAAAAACAAACGTTTTCAAGTGTGATCATCAGAAACTAATGAAGACAAAAAGCTCACAGTTACATACAAGTTATCATCTCAAAGCAGAAAAAATTTTCTCCCAATTTTAGTGAGAAGTGAGCTATAAATTGCATGAATGCATTTTGATTTGTTTTTTCACTTAGTTTAATTCTTGATTATCTACTTAAGTTTTCGTAGTCCTGAGGCTGCACACACGTCTGTCAGACGGCGAGAGATCAGTTAGAAGGAGCCCAAAACTGCAGCTGAGTTTAGACATTAGAGGTGTTCGTCTGCCACATGAGACGGACAGGTGATGCCTTCCAGGAGGCGGAGAGTGGAGCGCACACAGCAGATGCGAGAAAGGTCCCAGCATCCTTGTGCCGAAGAGGGGTGGAGCCAACGAGACTGATGTCCAGACACAGTATAAAAGCCCTGCGTTTCTCCCCAACTGCTTGTCACACCGACCCGCACATCTTTCGACTGCTCGTGGGCTTACTGTCAGCTGGTACCAAAGGCGAGAAAACTCTTTGGAGAGCAACATCTTATTGTGGCCATGCCAGAACCCACTAAGCCAGAGGGTAAGCCTCATCCACAAATTATTTCTGTTCAAAATTTTTACTAGTGCGTGTTTAATTTGGTATTACTTTTCAACCGATATCCAATTCCTTCTATAGATACAGAACCACTGTGACCTAAGGAAATGATCCTTTAAAGAGACCAGAGGGAAAAATACAGCAAGAATATGACGAATTGGAAAATATACAATAGTTGGTTGATAGTATGAAATGATGATTTTTTTTCTTTCAATTGCAAGAAATCCTTAAAGTATAATTTAAGGACATTATTTGCTCCTGTTGCTCAGATTGCATTTTAAAGCATATCTTCTTGAGCTTAAGCACAAATTTTTCACCATGTGTTTGCAATTTGCAGGTGATGCAGGCTTGAAATAATTTCTTAAACCATTGATAAATCTGATCAGTACTTCAAAGAAGAGCTTGTAACATTGCTTTTTGGATTTGTTGTAATTTTCCCCAATATTAGAATATTTTCTGTTTCCCTAAGTGCTTGGGGGAACTTTGCTGCTAAATTCTTGAGCGGAAACAAAACACTGAGTAGGATTCTGTTCTTTAGTGAATTTTATTGCAGATCATTTCAGAATATGGTCCTTTTACTAGAAATATAAGCATATTCCTCATGAGAATATTTCTCTCTAATAAGATTTTTCTTTTCTGTGTAAAAAAGTTACAGTCAATAGCTAAAACTATTAATAGCACCAATAACTTTGGACTAATTATAAAAATAACAAAGTACTAGTAGTACCAGTATGTCGAAATTCATTTTTAACAGAAATATCTTTAAGAATATTTCATTCATATTAGTCTCCACCAGGGCTTACTGACTTTTATTTTTGCTTCTGTGAATAAAAGCACACACACACACACACACAAAGATTAACAGGGAGCGTAAAAATAGTATTGAATCTTGTCATTTTAAAAAATGTTTTTAACTGTTGTTTTGAGGAATCTTGAAAAAGATGCTCTACGTTGAGTTCAAGGTTGAAACACGAACTAAATGATCAAAAGTCTTTTAGATATATTTTTCTTTATGTAATTAAGTAGCCAGTGTTGACAGGCCACGGTGATCAGTTTACAGGTTGGCTTCTCTCCGTGGTGGAGGGCATTGATGGATGAAGTCTTCCACCCAAAATAACCACACCAAATGCATGCATTAATATGGGAACTTAATCCCGACGGTCAGGCACTGCTCAGTGTCCAACCACTGCTAAGTGTCTTCTTGGTAATGCAAATGATTTACATGTGTATGAAGTGTCCCTTTTATTTGATCTATCACTTAATAAGCCTGCTCATCGTCTACATCGATGAAGTGCATTCCATGTTTCCTTGCAATAGATGGAATATTGCTTGAATTATCCTGAACTTAATGGATGAATGAACATTTGCAGTTTTAAAGCTCAATTAAAAATAGCACTAATAAATAAGGCTACACCTATGAAGCTGGTTAAATTATTCAGATTGCCAGATGTGTTTTATATTTTGACAGTCTAATTCATTCCACTTTGAAAGTGGATAGAAGTTCAGAGCTGTAAAAAGAAAAAAAGTTTTAAACTTCATCCTTAACCCTCTCTCTCTCTCTCTCTCTCTCTCTATATATATATATATATATATACATATATATATGTAAAATAAATCAGCAGGGATACAAAAATCACTAGTCTTACTATACAGGGCTGTTTATACTCTGTGTGGGAGTCTCTCCTGCCCCCATCGAAGGCAGTAATTTTATACCCAGAGATTCTTGGTTAGTTTAAATTTGGCTGGTGGGAAGTGAGAGAAAAAAAAAAGAGTTTCTGATATATTTTAAATCCATTGAGGAAGTAGAGAGATTTGCTTTGTTTCCTCAGCAGTAGAACTTATTCCTATAGGAACTGCATGTTGAAGGACTTTCCTTAATGAAATGGTTGCCTTTCAATATTGCGTCTATGGAAAGAGTAAGGATTATGACAGTTCATGAACTGCAGTGGTCCTGGCACCTCGAACTGTGATTCTTTTCTTCTGTGTGAGCGCCCCTCTGAGAGCCAGCCCAAGCAAAGAACACACCGCTTAGTCAATTCTTCTGAGTCATTTGAGATCATCTATAGATACCCTCCCCAAAAGAAGGTTCCCTGAGTGCCCGTGGCTCTTCACTCTTCCCCAGCTGCCAGAGCCATGCCCAGGAAGGAGGTGACCACTTGTTGTGAATCTTGATAGGATACATGGGCTGCTCAGGCCTTCCAAGGATCCAGTAGGTCCTGGCACATCTTCAACAGAGGTTGAGTTTTCAGCACCTGAAGGTGTAAAGAATGTCTCACACAGTTGCTTCCCAACCTGCAGTGGCCTAATTCTGGGAGTTTCATGTTAGGTCTTAAGAGAGTTGGTTCTTCTAACGGGGAGCAGGAAGGACAGGTGTAACTTCAAGGAGGAAATCCAAAGAAGTGATCGGTCAACAGTCCCTATTTAGGGCCTTTAAACCATCCTGGGTGGCTCAGTGAGACCTTTTAAATATTCTTCCCCGCTAAGGAATAACCTGTGTCCATCGGCCTGCTCTCCATTCCCATCAGTTCTGGATGCATTCTTTGCAGAACTATATTATTTATGTTATTTAGTACCATATAGAAGGTCTGTCTTAATGCTTTGAAATAGGGTGGCAACTGAGGGTGAGTCAGCTACTACAATAGGGAAATAGCATGCAGAAGGAAGCCCCAGATTTGGAGGGATGTCATAGAATGCCTTGTTCACATTCTCCTGTATGTCTCCACTCTGAGTTGAGTGGTCACTGTGTTAGCTCCTGGGATTTCCGAGACACGGGCAACAGGACTTCTGAGCACATCCATTGCTCCTGCTTCCTGTGGGCCACCTTGCCCAGGGATTTTTTCTCTTTTTCGGGGCGGGGGGGGGGCGGGGAGAGAGAGAGACTTTATAGACAGAAAATTAGAAAATTGCAACAGTGTTTCCTTTATGGAAGACTCTATTAGTTGGTACAAGTAGCTGTTAAACCCACAAAATGATTACATCAGAAATTTATCTTGGCAATATATAAGGACTAAAGCCAGAAAGCCTCAGCTCTTATTCAATACCCTGAGACAATTAACCCTCAGATTCTATAGAATACAGAAAAATCCTTTCTAAGACATCAAATTAAGGCCTTATGCGGAGTTCTATTTTAGATTGATAAAGTAGCAAGTTTTATCATATCTTATCCAACCTAACTTGTTGGGAAAAGGCAAAGATTCCTCCTTGATGCTTGACTTTCAAAAACCCCTGGGAAAGGAACTATAGTTTTCTCATCTTCCATGTAAGCCTCTTCTTTGAAAATGCAAACATTGAGCAAAACACAGATTGACTAGTGATCAGAATTTTCAGGGGCCATTCTGATACCCAGCGATCAACCACCCCGGTCTTGCTGCCACAGGTCCTCTTGCTGTGTCAGCAGATGGTCTCTGTCTTGGTCATTGTCAATAGGAACAGTTGGAAGCAACTTTTTCTCTTTTCAGACCACCCGGGCTTTCTCTAGGTCTGTCTTCTTCAACCTTCTAGAGGCTTCTGTACACTATGAAGTTCTGTAGTGCCTGAATGCAGAGCAGCAGCCATCACCTCTGCCCTTCTTCTAAGCATCGCTCAGGGCTTAGTCATCATCACAAAAGGAGCCTCCATGATGGGAAACCTCCCTCTCATGTTTACTTTTTGACCTTCAGAATCCACCTGCATGAGACTGGATTTCAGATACCAAAATAAATTTGTCTTTGGAGAGTCACCTTTTCCATAAACCATTGCCTCCATTCCAAATGGTAGAGAGTGGGCAGTGAGAAAAAAGGACAGGAAAGGTGAGCAGGAGGACTTTCTCTAAGAGTTTTTCTCTGGTTCTATGAAGGAACACCATAACGTCTTTTTTGCACCCCCTGATGCCGTCCCACTGCATTGGACATGCGTATTGTGGATCTGAGTGAGCCCTGATCAGAAAGAGTATTAAGGGCCAATGTATGCTTGAGGAGCTTAATACTTGGCAGAATCATTCTTTTTTTCAGTAGCCTGCTTTTATGACTGCTCGTCCTGCACCTGTTAGGAAGATAAATAAAGGCCTGGCCAATTCTTTCCTCTCAAGCGTCCTAAATATATCGCTTTCAAAAAGCTTTGGAAAAACAAATTGTATTCTTGCTTCTCATCCAGTAAGTCTGCAGAGGTTCCAGGCTTTTCACATAGCAGTGAGGTCAGGGTGAGGGAGTCTGTGATACCATCAAAGGTGGTGCTAAGGCCCATGGACTGCTCTGAGGCACCCGAGAGAAAGGAGGAAAAAAAAAATAAAGCATTTGCAAACTTTTATTCTCTCAGTGGCTCATTTTATTTTGGCTATGAGACATAGATTTGAAAAGTTTTTACTTTGTGTTTGTGTTCTATATGAATACACAGTTCTCACAATTTTCTAATTTTGCAGTAAGTTCTAAATAGTCCTGAATTCAACATTCACATTTGTATATACTGCCTGGACTGAAGTCACTTAAAAAAATATATGCTTGAGCACAAAAGTAAATACATAAATGGTCTCTTTAAAAGGTTGAAGAAGGTTTTAGAAAACTTCCATAAACGTACACACTCCCTTTTTAAATGTTAGAGACCTATAGGAGGAAGCTTCTTTGAAAGCATCACTGTTGGTGTTGTGCTCAGGAAGGCATATTTTCATCGTTTTTGCATATCAATTTTTACTGTAGCATGTTTTTAGGCCTTCAATAGACACACAGAGAATAATAAGAATTGTTATTATTAGTTACTGCTTTTTAATCTGCACTGCCCCTAATTCTTAAAAGACTTAAAAATACTCCTTGCAGTCAATGACTTCGCTGGTAATTTTAGATTTTATCCCTAGACACGCTTGAGTGTGCTCAATAGTAAAGGGCAGGACTAAAGTTCTAGCAACCAAAAAAAAGTAGAAAAATTCAAACTGTATGTGTGTACCTGAGAGGACATGGCTGCGACTTTTTTCTTTGTCTTCCGTGTCAGTTCTTTACGGGAAAGCCTCTTTTCTG